CAGTGAAATCGATCCAAAAAATAGAAAAAGGAAAACTCGCTACCGGTCCCGGAGTCCTTTGTCAAGGAAAGGACAGCTGCGAACTCATCGGCGTCGACATTCTTCAAGCACCAACTCGGACGAGAGCTACGACTCAAGGTCACCGCCTCCGCGTGTTCATTACTCGCGAAGTCAAGAGAAAGGATCACGACACAGTGGATATGACTATCGAAAGAAATCACCTACCTCAAATGACAAGTATAGATCGTATAAAAAACACAAAAGCAGCCGACACCGCTCACACTCGGATTCTAGCCTATCAACAACACCTAGTCCACATGAGCGGTCATCACGTCTACCCCGCAATAAATCCCCACCATCGAAAACGACTGCTGCTTATCGTGCCGACTACGATAAGGTTTCTTCCGACTTAGATCTCGCAAGTCGCTCTAAATCGTCTAAAACTGTGAATGGCCTCTCTGGGCAACCCACAAAGTCCAGTAAACAAAGCTACGTAAGTAGCTCACGCAGTCGAGCCCGACAGTAGGATCAGTCTGACGTTTCGGTTCTACTTTTTGTCACAAGACGCCCAGAATGACAACCGTCCCCCAGCACGCTTCACCCTCAATACGTTTGCGCAAACCAAAAGAGGGTGTTTCGCATTGTACAGTACCCTTATTTTCTAAGAGCCTAATTATACTGAAGTAAATCTTTTCTTACTTTAATTGCTTAACTTAAAGCCGGTCCTTCATTTGGTCCGTATCGACTGTCGTTTGACGAAATTGGGTGAGCCTTTATTAGTGCAGTGCACATGAATAGCTTTTCGACAAGAGTCGTCGTGTTTTCGAATTACTAATTGGTAGAACACTTACCTTGCGGATAAAGCCGGGACATCATCCGTGTACCTGTTTCCTCCCGACTTGGAAATTTACCTATGTTTGTGCTTCATTCCTTGTAATTAACTTACCTCGGTTGTGTTGTATAGCATATTAAAAAACCGGCAATTCATGTTGTCTTCAATTTGCTATTTTGTTATATAGGTACTGCGTTTGCCTCTCAACCTATACTTGTCAGTCATAAATTTGGGCCACAATGCTTCGCGAGTTTAAGTTCCTCCCGAACTTCTTGGTTCTATGCTTTAAGCCGACGCGTCTTATAAGTAATTATTCTGCTGTTGTACAGAGATATCGAATGGCTCGCCTTGCCCACAGGTGACGCATGGATTTCTGCCAACCGTCATATAGCTTCTAACGGAGCTTACACCGGATTGTCTTCAACACCACTTCTTGTCGATGGTTTCGTAAGAGCACTGCAAAAGAGAACAAAGTAAGTTTTAGTGACATTGCTGACAGTGTCCTTTTTCGTTCAAGGCTTATTTTAGAAATGCTAATTTAGTGCTTCAGCGTTTTTTAGTAGATTTTCTGATAAATAGGCACTAGTAGTCGCTTTGCATTATTCACTAACTGCCGGTGTATGTGGACTACTTACTGTAGTAGGATGCCTTCATCGACCAATACGGCCTTCAGCCCCGCTGCTGTTTGACAACATGCTGCACATAGTGCCTTTTGTGTCGTTATAAAACATTTTCTACCTTCAGCTTGCATAGCTCGCATAAGTTTGACAGACACGGCTGGGACCACTGTCTGAGATCTATTTATGTCATTTTTACTCATTTGAAATAAAGACTGGCGGATAATTCACAAATTCTGTTCTACAGCTGCTTTAATTGTTAACTTTCACTTTAAGATTCTTGATCTCGACTTAGCACTTTTATTCACTAAGTGTCTCCTCTTGAGCCTATGAGGACTTCAAGGTTTTATGTTGGATATCAAGTGGTCGAGTCGTTCGTTTACGCTGCCAATACACAAGTGATCTCGTGGTCTTTCAGTTTTGGGAAGTTTATCGGATCCGCTAGAGCTTTTCTGGACGAGACAATTGCCCGCTTTGTCTTGAGCAAACGTGACTACCTAATGTAAAATATTATATAATTAAATCATGTGTTTCTTAAATGCTCGTGGCCTTTTCGTTGTAGCGGATTCCACTTCAAATAAGCTGTTTACTACAGGGTATTTTAAATAATTTTAGTTTTCCCTGTTTGTCTTATTATGACGCTTCCTCGAATGGCGGAATTAGCGGTAGGACTCACGTCCCTTAATCTCTCACATCCAGGGCGAATTGTAGACTCAACCCCAATCGTGCGGTCAGTCCTGCTGGTTCTACTGTATTTTGAACGCTGTGACCGTTAGGAGACCATCTTGATAATAAAACGAAGCGTTTTGCTAGAATGTACAGTGGAAATACGACTGATGATTTTTTTCCTAGTTTGGGGTCGGCAACCAAACGGAATGGGGTACTACCAAGATTGTACATTTGCAATCAATGTTCAGTTATTCGAAAGCATTGTAGGTCTAATCAACGTCTTGTATTTAAGATTCGTGTACGTTCTTTCGATTAGTGTCTAGTTCCTAAAGTCTTATATACCCACCGCGGTTCTTATTATTTCCTTTTTTGCTTCGTCTAGCAATCGAAGTATCACGATAAGGGATAGTGACGACGGAATGTAGGATTCTTGATTAGTTCGTACGTAGATGGTTTCTGTGCTGATTTTGAAGCCGTGCTTCGATCTTTCCAAGTTGATTTCCAGTAATAAGTCTTTATCATATTAACCTTTTCTCAATTAGCCATCTGCTGCCCGGCTGCTGAGAGGGCAGCGACTAAGCATTTCGAGAGATGGGGT